CTGTCTGAATACTGCTATAAGAGCATGGGCTTTGCAGTTCGAGCAGGCCCTAAAAGTCGCTCTTTCTGGCGTCTCGGGCGGCCAGAATAACCATACTTTCGGCGGGTAGATCAAGAAAAAATTATTTATTTATTCATGAATATCTATTTTTTCCCCTTCAAAGTAATCCCCATCAGATATTATACACTTGTGCCAACGTTTTTTCCAATCCTCGAAGCACTTAAAAAAATCATTTTTTGTGATCTTGTTCAGCTCCTCCTTCGATGCCGTCTTTATCTCTTCAATCGTAGCGTAGCGTTGTCCTTTCATGGGCCTCTTCAGTTTCGGGAACAAGAAAAAATCACAGGGGGCCAGATCTGGGGAATACGGTGGCTGCGGCGTTGTGTGTTGTTATTAGTGTGTTGTTTTTGGCCAAAAATTCGCGCACAAGCAACGATGTGTGAGCAGGGGCAGGGGTACGAATTTCGCGGCGACCCGTCTCATGCCCAAATCATTGGTAAAAATCGAATGGCACGAGCCAATCGATATGTTGGCGTCCGGCACACTCTTCGTCGTTCACATCTTCTCGGCCCTCTGAGAACATTTTGTATCACCGATAAACGTTGCTTCGGTCCAAGGTAGCTTCACGATATGCCACAGTCAACATTCGGAATGCGTCCGCGCACTTTATTTTGTTTTTCACACAAAATTTGATACAGATTCTTTGATCCATTTTTTGGAATAGGCAAAAATCGAAGACGAGCCAGAACACGTGCAAGCAAAGCAGCTGTCAAAAATTAACTGAACATTCAAAATGGCCGAACTTGTTGGCATAAAGTGAGAGACATGAGTATCAACATAACGCCACAAAAAAATCGAAAATCGAATATACGTATAACCCGCGGAAATTCAAAATTCGCGATACTTTTTGAACAGCGATCTCGTACATTTAAAAATGACATTTAAATGATTAAAAAATCCGAAATATATTCTTAAATAATACATTAAGATTTCTCGAAAAATATGATAGATATGGAAAAATGTGACAAATAAAAATTGTAGGGTTCGGAAAGGTACATAAAAAAATATCATTAATTTTATTTTAGGTGGCGCTGTTAAGATCAGATCAAGATTACATCGATTTTTTTAAACGGAATTATATATATTTCTTTACATACCTAATACGATTCCTCTAATTATTTTGCATATAAAAGTATTAAGGTAAACTTATCGAAAAATCAATATTTTACGAGATATTTTATACTTTATTATATCATATTTTAATATATAATATAAAATATCTTGTAAACACTATTGATTTTTTGATAATGATACCTAATTCTAGACATAGAATAATAAGATAAATCGATTGGTGTAAAGAAAACACACAGTTGCTTCAAAAATTTGTAAAAAAATGCATAAACTTACTAATTTCAAAGTCGAGGGACAACCTGAAGATATTGATCGATTTTGATGAAATTTTACCCAGATTATATTGAAATCCATAGCCAACTTTTGGGGAATATTACTAATCGATTTAAAAAAAAATTTTTTTTTGGCCTACCTTAATATATACATATACATACATATTATATATACATATGTATAAACATTTATTTATTTGTTTACTTATGTGTATATAAAGTTAAAACCTATGTTTTATTTAATTTTATATTTGTTTATTTGTTATCACGCGTGTCAATTCAAAAGAAGAAAATTTTAGCTTTTACGTATAAATATTTTTTAATAAAAAAAATTATTTCGGTGAGGCATAAAAAGTCTGCTATAAATCGATGACGCGTCTGACCGTGCTTTAGGAGTAACATGTATATGAGATAAGTGCACATTCAGTTGTCGATTAGATGTATCCATCGAGAAACCACTTGCAAACTCAATGTCTGGCCCGTGTCGCAAGTGGTCATCGATAAAACCGCTTACCTCGGCAGTGCCGATGACGCAATGAGAGTGATGTCGTTAGCAATGACGTCGCTAAGAAAGACGTCGCGCGTTGATGTTTTGACGCGCTAACAATTTTGGGCGTTATTAAAAAAAAACTTTTATTCCCTAGTTTTTAAATATGTTATTGCTTTGCAAGACCGAAGATTGTTTACAATTTTTTTTAAGTGGACGTTAGACGCGTTTCTCGCAAGTTGTCTGCTATCATGTTTATTAATATAAGAGCTAAGAATTGCGTAAATTGTGTGTTTTGTATATACATATATGTATATGATGCTATTTTACGTTCCTATATTTGTCCGTCGCTCTCGGCGCATCTTTAATAGTCGGTCGATCAGCTGCCAAGCTTTACTACTCGAAAGAAACTTTCGTTAGTAATACAGGTCAACGACTTTAACAACGATGGAAGATTTGCAGTAGTAACATATAATTGCGAACACTCATATTCATTTCCTCTCATTGTCAAACGTTACTATTTATTACTATTTCATATTGTGAATTTAATACAACTAAAAAAATATCCTATTTCACAAAAAATAAAAAAAATTTTTAATAGAGAATGCGACGACAGATGCTGTATCAAAATTATATCTAATTAATAATCAATTTAAATTAAAAAAGGCGTAAATATGGTATCTATATGTATACATATAATTTCTTCGAAGAGATATAAAATTTCACTAATGTAAACAAGTAATGTAAAATATGTATACATGCATATATAAAATCCAGTCAAATCAACATTTCATTTATATAATAATTTATATATATGCATACAATAAAATTCTTCTACATTATAAAAATATGTAATACATAAAATACATAATAATATAAAAAAACATCACCAAATATCAACTTACTAGCTGATTTATTTTTTAGTATAAGGAAATGATCATGTAATTGCTTGTATGAGAAATTTTTCTGAAAGAAGAATAAAGAAGGAAATCTCTTATTTGTATCGAGTTGTTCTCTATTAATTTCTTACCTCTTCCGTTTTCGCCGCCACAGTCGTTGGTGTTTCTATAAGACTAGAAAAACTGGTCCTACTTCCATGCCTACTACTTCTGCTTAAACAACCGACATCGGTGACTTCTCCGGCGGCGATTCTAGCAATCCTATCGTTCTCTATGCACTGCGAGAGCGGTATACCAAACACCAGACCACCCGCGACGTCTGTAAGCAATAAGGATAGACAACAATTTTAGGAATTTGTATGATTTCTTTAGAATTTCAATATATGATCGATAAATTTTGTGTTTTTTAAAGAATGCTATATTGTCATTTTGACAAAAAACATTGAATTTATTACTATGGGGTATTAAAATGCTTATATTAAATATCTTAAATTTTTATTATAAATCTGATGTTCCATCTAACATGAATTAATGTGCATTATTTAAACATAATTATAATAATAAAGACTTTATTCCTCTTTTTCAAGATATCTAAAACAAGATAAATTATTGATCAAATGTTTCAATTGCAGTTGCAATATAAACCTGATTGAAATTTACATACGTAAGGAAAGAGGGGGGGGGGGGGCAAATAATGTCACTTTAAATTTTTCCTTCTTCCCGCGTCTATTTTACCACTACTCGTTAATAAAAAGACTGTTCTCAAGCATCTAATCATCTTCTGAAAAAGCCGTAAAAATCAAAAGTCAAATATAGCTAGCGGAGAGGTCGGAAGAGCACACG